TGTACAGAACAGACTTTTGGACTCTGTGGGAGAAGGCGAGGGTGGTATGTTTCGAGAGAGCAGCATTGAAACAACTATACTATCAAGGGTGAAACAGATCACCAGCCCAGGTTGGATGCATGAGACGGGTGTTCAGAGCTGGTGCAGTGGGAAGACCCAGAGGGATGGGATGGAGAGGGAGGCGGGAGGGGGAATCGGGATGGGGAACACATGTAAACCCATGGCTGACTCATGTCAATGTATGGCAAAAACCACTACAATATTGTAAAGTAATTAGCCTCCAACAAACAAAAATAAATGGGGGAAAAAAAGTTTAAAAAATATTACAGTCACCAGGCTAGCACAACACACATCTTTAATTTGGAAAAAAAAATTTTGTTAAGATTCTCTTTTTGAAATGCAGCAGACTTGAGTGTATCATTTGATGAGTCCTGACAAATGCAAACCCATGAAGACTCAGAACACCAGGGTTGCCCCAGAATGTCCTCTCAGCTCCTTTCACAGACAATCTTTGCCCTCAACCCTGGAGCCAGCTCCTCCCTGAGTTCTTCCTCCAAATGCTAATTTGCTGCTCTAGAACTTTTCTTCAGTGACTCATACGGAATGAGCCCAGGGTCTGGCCTCGGACATTTGCCACTGTGGTTTGGGGATTCACAGCTGCTGTGTGTTGCTTGGGATTTGCTTGGGATTTGACCCTGGAAGGCAGGCTGGAGGCACCACCTGGTCACACTTTTTCCCATATGTGACCAGACCAGAGTGAGTGTCTGCAAGAAGTCCAGCAGGTGAGCTCAGCATGCGAGGCCATAGTGGGAAACAATGCAGTGCAAGGCTTCCCCCTGAGGTCTGGTGTCCTACTCTGCGTCTGCCAGAGCCTCTCTGTGGGGGCTCTGTGGGGCAGGAGAACCTGAGGGGTGAAGGCAGGACACACTGCACACACATAGCGTGGGACCCTCCAGCAAGCAGCCTGGGTAGAGGCTGCCCTTCCACCATGACAAGGTCTCCCCTTGTCCCAACCTAATGTGTCCAGAGGTAACAACCACAAAGAAACCCTCTTTTATATGTAACTCCTACCTAAAAATACTTTACCAAGGATATTTTTAAATTAATAGGATCTTGTAGTACATAGAATTTTCCAACTTTATGCACAGTATTCTATTGCATGGATGGGCCAATTTCATTAGTCTCTCTTGGTCAATATTCAGATTATTCCTAAAAGGTTGATATTAGAAGTCATACTGTAGGACCATCCTGATATTTACCACCCTGTGAACTTGGGAAAGGAATTCCCTCGATCAAGACCAAAGTAGAATTTCTGCCTTAAGTGGAGAACCAGGTAATAATTGGTCAAAGTCCAGTTTCTCTCAAAGTGGATATGCCACTCAGCATGTGGTACTCCAGATCTGCCCTCCCCAGGGCAGGTCACATTCATCTGTGTACCCTAGTCAGTTTCAAGCAAGTTAGATGCCCTCTTCCTGCTCATCTCCATCAGCTTCCCAGCTCTTTGGAACCCCCGGGTGGCCTGGTGTATTGTTTTCTTTCAGAGCGAAAGCTTTCCATTCCAGAAAGGATTGGTCTCCCTTCCAGGGACTGTCAGTCCTTCTGCCATGCGAGAGCTGGTGGGCAGTGAACTGTATGTGGAAATGCAGCAAATACAGCCCTGGAAACCAATTTTAGGCCTTCCTGTCACTTCATTTTCTTCCCTTGGTTGATACTGTTGGAGGAATTATGGTACAATGGGTAGAAATTTGGGAAGAAAAAGGGACAGCTTTCTGGACAAAACAACAGTCCTTTATCTGAAAGTTTCTTTTGCTGAAATATTGAAACCATCACCCTGCCTCCCAGTTTGGAGACTTGCCAGAACTCAGAAGCCATCCTTTGAGAGCAGCACTGCCTGGGACAGAGGGACTCTGTTGCAAAGCTGATGCAGCACCTGAGCAGGGCTGAAGGCAGCAGGAGACCCAAGGAGGAAGGAAGGCACCCAGGTGGCAGGCAGTGTGCCCTGCTCCTGGAAGGAAGCAGTATGGTCTGTGTGCTGGATTATCAGCCAGCCCTGACCTCTGCTGCTGCGCTCCCTCCAGTCACCACATGGAAGGAGAGGGTGGGCTCAATCTTCACCTACGAGGCTGGGACCTCCAGGTCCCCAGTGGGGGTTTATGCTTCCAACATAAACATGTTGGAAGGCATGTCCCAAAATATGTAAGCAGGCCAAGAAAATCTATTAACTTCTAAAGAGAATTTGCAAACCCCACTTTGATCTGATGGAAGCTACAGGAACATCTGAAGCAGGAGAAATCAGGACTGCCAGGTCCAAGGCTGTGCTGGCATTTCCAAGGAATGCTTCCCAAGTTAATTGATCTTGGGCAAATCAAGTATATGCGATTGGAACTAGCCAACCTTTGCCAGGATGCACGGGTGGAGGCTAAAGACCATGGACTTGCAGTAGGATGACCTGCACTTATCCTGGCCAGCTCCCCAGGGGCAGGCCTATGACTTGCCCTCTCTGGATCCCCTGGTATTTGTCTCAGTTGGCAGAAAGCACCACTGGGGACCCAGTAGTCTGGCGAGGGGCTATGGCCCAGAACTGCGTATCAGTGTCTAACACCCTGGACAAAGGAAGTGCTTGGTGAATCTCTGTGGTGGGGGTAGAGCGTTGTGTGAGACACATGAAGGGGCAGGAAGAAAGAGGGGAAGAATAGTCACTGCAGACTTCAGAGCCACAGCTAAGACAAGATTTCACCCTCCATGGGGGATTCTGCTGGGCAGGGTCCTTGCCTCATTGCATGCCTCACCCAGGTCCTGATTTTGCTCCTGGGGTCTCTAGCCTGACATAGGGAGGTAAAACATAGGGAGGTAAAACAGACCCTCAAGTGTCAGAAAACCCCACAAGCACCAGGCTTGTGTGCTCAACCCAAAGGTCAGGACTGTCTTCAGCCTGAGTTGTCTTGGTTCCTCTGTGATTTTCAGTGGCAAGCACTGTCTATAACACTTAGGGAAGAGCATGGCTTTTCAGGGTCCAGATTTGTCCCTGTGGAGGGTATGAGACTGGATGTCTTTTAGCTCAACTGTTCAGAGGGGTTTGTAGCAGCACCCCAACTGCTCAAAACCCAGTTCAGTATCCTCAGAGTGGACCCTCAGCGATACCACTTCAGGATCTTGCACAGAAGGTAACCAGAGTTTGGTTCAGACAGAGCTACTTCCTCCTAGAAACCACTTGGGAGTTCAGTTTTGAGTGAAATTCTATAACTGTGAGGTCAGAGGGAAGACAGCACTGAGTCCCTCCTAACACAAACCTTTGGATGTTATTCTTGCAGAAGCCTATAAAGTAAAATTTTCTGCATCTGGCCTACAACAAAAAAGGAAGGATGAAATTGTTTGCAGATATCAGTTGGGGCCCAGAAAAATCTATGGTAAGTAACCCCCTTGGTATGGCAAGTTAGAAATACCACACAACACACCGCATTCCTTTCATCCAACCAAACTTTCAAAGTTCTTGCTGCCTACTCACTGTAGATACTGTAAGAATAAAGGCAGAATGAACAAGTGGAGGAAGAGACTTGGCTGGAAGCCTCGCCCTTCTTATGCAAAGCTTATAAGTAATCAGTCTCCTAGGACATCAAGATCTTTTTTGAAAAATTAAAGTTGATGGATAAACCTTTATCCAGGCTCATCAAGAAAAAAGAGAAGGGACTGAAACACAGAATGGCCATCATCAAAAAGTCTGCAAACAATAAATGCTGGAGAGGATGTTGGGAAAAGGGAACCCTCTTGCATTGATGGTGGAAATATAAATTGATACAGCCACTATGGAAGATGATGTGGGGATTCCTTTAAAAACTAGGAATAAAACCACCATATGAGCCAGCAATCCTACTACTAGGCATATACCCAGAGGAAACCAAAATTGAAAAAGACACATGTACCCCAATGTTCACTGCAGTACTATTTATAATAGCTAGAATATGGAAGCAACCTAGATGGCCATCAACAGATGAATGGATAAAGAAGCTGTGGTACATGTATACAGTGGAATACTACACAGCCATTGAAAAGGAATGCATCTGAGTCAGTTCTAATAAGGTGGACGAACCTAGAGCCTATTATACAGAGTGAAGTAAGTCAGAAAGAGAAATATAAAGATCATATACTGATGCATATATATGGAATCTAAAAAGATGGTACTGATGAATTTATTTACAGGGCAGCAATGGAGAAACAGACCTAGAGAACAGACTTATGGACATGGCAGGAGGGGAGGAGGGAGAGGGTGAGATGTATGGAGAGTGTAACATAGGAACTTACAATACCGTATGTAAAATAGATAGCCAATGAACATTTGTTGTATGACTCAGAGAATTGAAATAAGAGCTCTGTGACCGTCTAGAAGGATGGGATGGGGAGGGAGACGGGAGGGACGTTCAGGAGGGAGGGAACATGGGTGTACCTATGGCTGATTCTTGTTGATGTTTGACAAAACAACAAAATTCTGTAACGCAATTATCTTCCAATTAAAAAATAAAAGTGGCAATAAAATAAAAATAAAAGAGAAAGGACTGAAATAAGAAGTGAGAGAGAAGAAATCACAACTGATATCACAGTGATACAAAAAGTCATAAAGGAATATTACAATCAGTTGTATGCCAACAAATTGGACAATCAAGAAGAAATTGATAAATTTCTAGAAACATATAATCTTCCAAGATTGAATCAGGAAGAAATAGATCTGCACAGACTGACCTCTAGTATTAAAATTTAGTATGTGATCAAAACACTTCCAGCAAGCAAAAGTCCAAGATGACATGGCTTTACAGGGGAATTCTACCAAACTTACACAGAAGAGCTAATACCTATCCTTCTGAAACTATTTCAAAACACTGAAGGTGAGGCAACACTCCCAAAATCATTCTACAAGATCAATATTATCCAGATACCAAAAGTAGACATGGTCACTACAGAAAAAGAAAATTATGGGCCAATATCTCTGATGAATATAGATGAAAAAGCTCAACAAAATATTAGCCAACTGAATTCAACAATATATAAAAAAGGATTAAACATCATAGTCCATTGAGATTTATTTCAAGGATATAAGAATTATTCAGTATCCACAAATCAATATAATTCACTACATTGACAACAGAAAAAAAATAAGGATAAAAATCACCTGATGATCTCAATAGACACAGAAAAGGCATTTGATGAAATTCAATATCCATTTCATGATTAAAAAGAAAAAAATTCTCATCAAAGGTGGTATAGAGAGAGCATATCTCAATTTAACAAAAACTATTTATGGCAATCCCACAACTGACATAATACAGATTAGTGAAAATGTGTAAGTTTTTCTTTTAAAATCAGGAACAAGACAAGGATGCTCACTCTTATCACTTCTATTTAACATATATTGGAAGGCCTAGGCACAGGGAACAGACAAAAAATTAAGTGAAAGATGTCTAAATTGGAATAACAAATAAATCTATCACTATCTGCAGATGACATGATACTATATACAGAAAATGATAAAAAAAAAAAAGAAACTCCACCAAAAGAACTACTAAAACTAATAAATGAAGTCAATAAAGTTGCATGATGCAAGATTAATATGCAGAAATTTGTTGCATTTTTATATACTAATAATAAACTATCAGAAAGTGAAAGGAAAGTCACTCAGTCATGTCCAACTCTTTGGAACCCTTTGGACTGGCTTCTCCAGGGAATCATCCCAATCCAGGGATTGAACCCAGGTCTCCTGCATTGCAGGTGAATCCTTTAGCAGCTGAGCCACAAGGGAAGCCCAAGAATCCTAGAGTGGGTAGCCTATCCCTTTTCCAGCAGATCTTCCCGATCCAGGAATCAAACGGGGCTCTCCTGCCTTGCAGGCGGACTCTTTGCCAATTGTTATCAGAGAAGCCCAATAAGAAACTATCAGAGAGAGAATTAAAGAAAACAATCCTATTTATAACTGCATCAAAAAGAATAAAATACCTAGGTATAAACTTACCAAGGAGGTCAAAGACCTATACTTGAAACTACCTGACACTGATGAAAGAAAGTGAAAACACAAATACATGGAAAGAAAATCCATGTTCTTGAAATGGAAGAATTAATATTGTTAAAATGTCCATGCTACACAAGGCAATCTACACATTTAATGTAATTCCTAGGGGAAAAAATCTCTGACATTTTTCACAGAAATGAAATAAGTAATACTAAAATTTCTATGGAACCACAAAAATAAAATAAAAAGAATAGCCAATGTAAACTTGAGGAAAAAGAACAAAGCTAGAAATACCATGCTTCCTGTGTTCAGGCAATACCATAAGTTGCAGCAATCAAGACAGCAGGATAATGACACAAAAACTGGCACAAAGATTCATGGAACAGTATAGAGATCCCAGAAATAAACACATGGACATATGGTCAGCTCAGTTGCTCAGCTGTGTCCAACTCTTTGCAACCCCATGGACTGCAGCATGCCAGGCTACCCTGTCCATCACCAACTACCGGAGTTTGCTCAAACTCACATCCATTAAGTTGGAGATGCCATCCAACCATCTCATTCTCTGTTGTCCCCTTCTCCTCCTGCCTTCAATCTTTCCCAGCATCAGGGTCTTTTCCAATGAGTCAGCTCTTTGCATCAGGTGGCCAAAGTACTGGAGTTTCAGCTTCAGCATCAGTCCTTCCAATGAATATTCAGGATTGACTTCCTTTAGGATGGACTGGTTTGATCTCCTTGCTGTCCAAGGGACTCTTAAGAGTCTTCTCCAACACCATAGTTCAAAAGCATCAATTCTTTGATTCTCAGCTTTCTTTACAGTCCAACTCTCAAATCCGTACATGACTACTGGAAAAACCATAGCTTTGTCTAGACAGACCTTTGTTAATAAAGTAATGTCTCTGCTTTTTAATATGCTGTCTAGGTTGGTCATAACTTTTCTTCCAAGGAGCAAGCGTCCTTTAATTTCCTGGCTGCAGTCACCATCTGCAGTGATTTCGGAGCCCAAAGAAACAAAATCTCTCACTCTTTCCACTGTTTCCCCATCTATTTGCCATGAAGTGATGGGACCAGGATGCCATGATTTTAGTTTTTTGAATGTTAAGTTTTAAGCCAAGTTTTCACTCTCCTCTTTCACTTTCATCAAGAGGCTCTTTAGTTCCTCTTTGCTTTCTGTGTAAGGGTGGTGTTATCTGCATATCTGAGGTTATTGATATTTCTGTCTGCAATCTTGATTCCAGCTTGTGCTTCATCCAGTCCGGCATTTTGCATAATGTATTCTGCATATAAGTTAAATAAGCAAGGTGACAATATACAGCCTTGACATACTCCTTTCCCAACTTGGAACCAATCTGTTGTTCCATGTCTGACTCTTAACTGTTGCTTCTTGACTTGCATACAGATTTCTCAGGAAGCAGGTTGGGTGGTCTGGTATTCCCATCTCTTTAAGGATTTCTCACAGTTTGTTGTGATCCACACAGTCAAAGTCTTTAGCGTAATCGATGAAGCAGAAGTAGATGTTTTTCTGGAATTCTCTTGCTTTTTCTATGATCCTATGGATGTTGGCAGTTTGATCTCTGGTTCCTCTGCCTTTTCTAAATCCAGCTCGAACATCTGGAAGTTCTCAATTCACATACTGTTGAAGCCTAGCTTGGAGAATTTTCCACATTACTTTTTTGCTAATGTGTGAGATGAGTGCAATTGTGTGGTAGTTTGAACATTCTTTGGCATTGCCTTTCTTTGGAATGAAAATTGACCTCTTCCAGTCCTGTGGCCACTGCTTAATCTATGACAAAGGAGGCAAGAATATATGAATGAGAAAAGTCAATCTCTTCAGAATGTGGTGCTGGAAAAATTGGACAGCTGCACAAAAAAACAATGACATTAGAACATTTCCTCACATCATATACCAAAAAAATAAAAACTAAAAATGCATTAAAGATGTAAGTTTAATACCTGAAACCATACAACTCCTCGAAGAAAACATAAAATATTCTTTGACACAAATTGTAGCAATACCTTTTTGGACCTGTCTCCTAAGGCAATGAAAAAGAAATCAAAAATACACAAATGGGACCAAATTAAACTTAAAATCTTTTTCATGGCAAAATAAAGTATCGACAAAATGAAAAGACAACCTACTGAAAGAGAAAGTATTTGCAAATGGTATGACTAATAAGGAGTCAATATCCAGAATATATAAATAACACACACTTCAATATAAAAAAAAAGTTTAAAAATGGGCAGAAAACCTAAATAGACATTTTTCCATGTAAGATATACAGATAACCAATAGGTACATAAACAGATTACCAACATCACTAACTATGTAAGTCAAAACCACCATGAGATGTCACTCACACATGTCAAAATAACTATAAGCACATGTTGGCCAGGATGTGGAGAAAAGTGAAGCCTAGTGTGCTGTTGATGGAATCGTGAATTGGTGCAGTCACTAGGGAAAGCAATGTAGAGATTCCTCATTAAAGTAAAAATAGAATTACCATATAATCCAGCAATTCCTCTATGGGATATATTATCTGAAAAAAAACAAAAACAGTAATTTGAAAAGATACATATACCCTAATGTTCACAGCAGCCTTATTTATAATAGACAAGATATGGAAGCAACCTAAGTGTCCCTCAACAGATGAATAGATAAAGAAGATGTGCTATATATCCACATACACAAGGGAATATTACTCAGCCATGAAAAATAATGAAATTCTACAATTTGAAGTAACATGGATGGATCTAGAGGATATTATGCTAACTGAAATCAGACAGAGGAAGGTAAATACTGTGCATTATCACTTATACATGGCATCTAAAATTGAAAGAAATGGTTGAATATAGCAAAACAGAAACAGACTCACAGATAAAGAGAACAAACTAGTGGTAGTCAGAGGGAAGGAGGAAATGAGGAGAGGCAAGATCCAGGTGTAGGAGATTAAGAGGTACAAACTGTTGTGTATAAAATAAATAAGCTACAGGATATATTGTAAGCACAAGAAATGTAGCCAATATTTTATAATACTTTTAAATGCAGCATAATCTATTAAAAATTTTAATCACTAGGCAATACCCCTGAGATTATTATTGTTGTTGTTCAGTCACTTAGTCATATCCTACTCTTTGCAACCCCATGGACTGCAGCATGCCAGGCTTCCCTGTCCTTCACCATCTCCCAGAGTTTGGTCAAACTCATATCCTTTGAGTCGGTGATGCCATCCAAACAGCTCATCCTCTGAAACTAGAATAATATTGTAAAGAAAAAAAACAAAACAAAACTACAATTAAAAGGAAAAGAAAACTTCAGCAACCAACCATGCTCTTCTCCGTCCTCACTATGCAAGGTGCCTGCCATCACTTCACTCTCCCTGCTCCATGAACACTACGGAGATTACACCACATTACCTTGGGAAATTTTTTTACTCTAATCCAACCATCCTATTCCTCAGACACAAATCTATCCCCCTAAATATACTTGGTGGTAAGTTTCAATATCAGCACAAATGAAGGGAAACACAGGGCAGAACTTCATAGCTAATCTGAGAACTGAGTTACAGCCAAAAGCTGGTCACTGGGAAGAAAACCATCTGAGGCAAAAGGTCTGACCTGTGAGCACAGTCAGGGTATGAGAAGAGTTAAGAGCTCAGGAGAGAGAAGGTTCCACAGCTACTCATGACACATGTCTGAGGCTCCCAAGGGCCACCATGCAGGTCCCACAAAATCATAGAACAAGCACAAACACAGAGGCCCTGTTCCCCCTCAGGCTTCCCTGTGTCCACAGATGGCACCACCCCCACCCAGATGTCCTGCTCACTAACCTGCATGTCGTCCTTGACTCCTCTTTGTTCTCATCCCACATCCAGGCCAATTGCAGGTCCTGCTTCTTCTGTGTCCAAACTCACCTGGACCTGGCCAGCCCCTTGACACACTCACTGTACTTAAAAGAAAGCCTACATCCCTTCCCAGGGCCCATGAGGCCCCATTCTCTTTCCATCAACAAGCTAAGCTAGTTACCTCGGGCCTCACCTCAGGCACCTACAGCCTTGACCCTCTTCCCCAGATTGTTCCCCGGCTTTCCCCTCACCTGGTTCCACTCCAGGAATCCCACCTCAGATACACCTCATCTTTAATGAGAATCTTCAGTAACATACAAAAGTAGCAAAAGTTGCATAGAGCCCCTGGAGGAGCCTTACCTACTTTCAGTAATTATCAACCTTGGCCAATCTGGTTTTGCTGATACTCTCACAATTCATTATTGTGAAGCAAATCCCAGACATCCCTTCATGTCCTGTGTAAATATTTCACTCTCTCTTAAAGAGAAACTGTGTCTCTAAAAGACAGGACAGGTCACCTACTCCGAAAGCAGCTGTGCCTTCCTCTCCTTCCCTATTCCTTCCCTCGTTTATTGACATCACAGCACTTTTCACTCTGACAGTTTTTGTTCATTGCTTGTTGCTTTATTGTCTGTCTCCATCTCTAGTCCCACAAATGTCAGGCCCTTGAGAGCAGGGCCTCTGCCTACTTTGTTCCCTTTAAATATCAGTGCCTTTTATTAATATAACAACTATAAATGGAGTACAACCTTTAAATTTTGTGAATCACCATATTGTACACTTGGAACTTAGGTAATATTGTATATCAACTGTATTTAAATAAAGTTTAAAATAAATAAATAAATAAAGTTTAAAAAAACAAAACACCAGAGCTCAGTGCTTGGTACATGGTACATGTCAGAAGAAAAGTTGCTTCTGCCCAAGTGTAAACTCTGCTTCCAAGGGCAAACAGAATGAATGGGAAAGACAAATGAGTGGACATGTCCAATGACATTTTTGTGGGGTTTTTTTTTTTTTTAGGAAAAAGACCCATCTCTATCAATAAAGAAAAATTAATTTGCCCAGGACATATGTTTGACAAGGCTGGACAGTAAGTATTTAGGGTTGAGGGGGTGACTGGGCCAAGAATGTAGGAAGTCACCTCTGCTGGGCAACACATATCTGTCTCAGGAGAGCTCAGGGCATCATCCTCACCTAACCTGGTTGGTGGTCCTTCGAGGAGCTCAGGGACCCACTGTGGCCGAGGCTCTGCATAGGGAAGGATTCAGGTGAAGTTGTGCAACCAGGGATGTTAACTTTGCTCCAGACAGCTTTTCCAAGGGACTCCAATATACTCTGTACATACAGAGGAGTCAGGATGGTGACACAATACAGCTATTCCTGGTCACTTAGCTCATGGCCAAGAGGACATCTGACTCCACTCAGGACACCTCACTGTCTGATAACCTTCATTGCAGGGGTCAATCTCATGGTGCTTGGGGATAAACTCCCCTTACCCCTGATGACTGCTCTCTGATAGTCCCAAATGGCTGATAGTCGAAGTTATTACCATGAGACAGCTATGGACTGAGCCAAGGGCTGTGTCTCTTTGATCAGTTGGTTACCCTCTACCTTTCTGTGCTTTAGGGAGGTTTTCATTGATTACAGCCTGAACAATGGTGTCAACTTTGTAGATGAAGACTTGAAAATTGCTGGCAAGGATTGTGGGAAGAACAGGGTGGGTCTGCAAGAACCTCAGTGGAAGGGGGGGAAAGTGGAGGAACATAAAACCTGGGAAGAGAAGGTAAGTGAAGCAAAATTCCTTGGGAAACGCCAAGCGAGAAGTTTATGAGACTGATGTCTCAGGCAGCATCCCACTGCCAGATAGGTGCCCTTAACCTTTCATCAGGCTTGTAAAAATCTCAGCAAATCCTTCTACAAGAACACCTAGGTTTAAGGCATCTATCCAGGCCTTGCAGAAACTCTACCCTCTGTGAACCACATGTCACTGAAGGCACTTCAAAGGGACCAATTCAAGCTCTAAGCAACTCCACAAATGGTGTTGGTGTTCTGCCCACCCTGGACCCACCATGCCACCTCCCCTGGCCAGGCCTTGTGGTGGGGAGCTCAAGGCTCCAGCCCGGATTCCATCCAGGTTGAGTGTAAGAGGCTGAGACACTGTGTACTAGGAGACAGATTCCAGGCCCTCTGAGAACCTTGGGCTCTCCAAATTGTGGTCCCAGGCCTAGGGATCTAGAGGGTGGGAAGAGCTATGGCCGTGATCAGCCAGGGTGTGTCTTCACTGCATTGGTGCAGCAGCAGGCAGCACCCTGAACACACTCATGACCGTCACAGCCCCAGCCTTCCAAGTCTGTTTGGGGAACACTGGCAGTCACTTTACAGAGGTCATCAGCCTCCCTTCTGCCTCTCCTCCTCTCTCATGCTCCTCCACTGCCCCTCTCTGCAAACCGGCTCTGACCTCTGCAGGAGGACTCTGCCCTCTGTTCCTGGGAAGCTGGCAGGGCTGCGGGGAGGGTGGGCCGCAGCTCAGGAAGAGGAAACTGAGAACAAAGGCTGCTCCCAGGGGCTGCTTTTCCCAGCTCTATGGCATCCAGGCTGCTTATCCTGGAGCAGCCCGGTATAGGCAACAACAGAGCCTGTCACTTTGGAGTGAGGTTTCTTTGAGAAGAGGGATTCTGTGCTTGATCCCACTGCCCCTGTATCTAGTGCCAGCTGGTGAGGGTTCTCGCAGTGTGACAGTCCCTACATGTGTCTGTGTCCTCTGCTCCCTGTCCCTCTTCCTGGGGACCTGAGACTGAACCTCCACATTTCCCAACCAGGAGTCTTGCCACCTGAGGACCACCCATCCACAGGCACATTGAAAAGAGAACTCAGGAGCCACCTCTGGCGCTGTGCCCAGCACAGGGTCACCCAGAGACTGCCATTTCCTGAGCACAGGCTCAGTCTTTCCCCTTCCCTTCTGCTTCTCTCAGCAAAGCCACTGATGGAGAGAAGGGCTGGGCAGTTCAGGTCCATGGATGCAGCTCACTCACCCTTGGCTATGAACAACAAGAGGACAGAGCCCATTCTTTAAGGTCCCATGTGGACCTGGCCTGTGCTGGAACTTTCTATAGCCTCTTTCTAATGCATCAAATACCACTAACTTCCTCACCACAAACATGGAGATAGAGATTCAGAGAGGGATAGAGTAGCTCTGCCCAAGGTCAGGGAGCTGGGGAGAGAGACTAGTGCCATTGTGGTCCCTGTAGATGAAGCAACCTGAGTACAGGTGGTCCTGGGTAGACCAGGAAACCCAATGCGGGAAATGGTTGGTGGGTGCCCCGGAAGAGATCACCTAGGCCAACCTCAGAATCCTGGTGTGTATGCCTTCCATAGGTTAAGCCTTCAGAACCCACTATAGTATCAACAGTGATCACACTGCCTACAGTTATCATGATAAGGACCATAGTGCCTACTGTTGTCTTGACAACCACAGTACCTACTGTTGCCACAACGACAAGCACAGTACCTACCACTGTCACAACAAAAAGCACAGTACATACCACTATCACAAGGATGACCACAGCGAGTACTTTTGTCCCAGAGGAAGAGACAACAGTTCCTGAGGTGGTCCCAGAAGATGAGACTGCATTTCCTGAAGTAGCCCCAGAAGAGGAGACCACGTTTCCTCAGGTGGTCCCAGAAGAGGAGACATTTCCTCAGGTGGTCCCAGAAGAGGAGACATTTCCTCAAGTGGTCCCAGAAGATGAGACCACGTTTCCTCAGGTGGTCCCAGAAGATGAGACCACGTTTCCTCAGGTGGTCCCAGAAGATGAGACCACGTTTCCTCAGGTGGTCCCAGAAGAGGAGACCACATTTCCTCAGGTGGCCCCAGAAGAGAAGGCATTTCCTCAAGTGGTCCCAGAAGATGAGACCATATTTCCTCAGGTGGTCCCAGAAGATGAGACCACATTTCCTGAGGTGTTCCCGGAAGAGGAGAATACATTTCCTCAGGTGGTTCCAGAAGATGAGACCACATTTCCTGAGGGGTTCCCAGAAGAGGAGACCACATTTCCTCAAAGGTTCCCAGGAAATGAGACCACATTTCCTCAGGTGTTCCGAGAAAATGAGGCCACATTTCCAGAGGTGTCCCCAGAAGATGAGACCACATTTCCTGAGGTGATCCCAGAAGAGGAGGCCACATATCCTGAGGTGTTCCCAGAAGAGGAGATCATATTTCCCGAGGCGTTCCCAAAGACAGAGACCACAGTGCCCACTGCTGTCGCAGAGGAGACCACAGAGCCCACAGTTGTGCCAGAGGAGGAGACCACCTTGTCTAACATTGTCCCAGAAGAGGAGACCACAGAGCCCACAGTTGTGCCAGAGGAGGAGACCACCTTGTCTAACATTTCCCCGGAAGAGGAGACCATGGTGCCCACCACTGTCACAGAGGAGACCACAGCACCCGCAGTTGTGCCAGAGGAGGAGACCACCTTGTCTAACATTTCCCCGGAAGAGGAGACCACGGTGCCCACCACTATCACAGAGACCACAGCACCCGCGGTTGTGCCAGAGGAGGAGACCACCATGTCTAACATTTCCCCAGAAGAGGAGACCACAGTGCCCACCACTGTCACAGAGGAGACCGCAACATCCATGGTTGTGCCAGAGGAGGAGACCACCATACCAGAGTTTTTCCCAGAAGGGGAGATAATAATACATGGGACTGTCCCAGAGAAGATTAGCTTAATGCCCAAGGTTGTCAGCCGTAACCTGCTTTACAGTAATCCTCTCTGGGTCCCTGTGCTCATCTCAGCCTTGTTCCTGTCCCTGTTCCTGTCACTGCTTGTCTGCATCTGCTGTCACAAGTGGGTGAGTGATCCCTGCCTGAACAGCCTGTGCCCAGCCCTTACCAACCTCCCCCTTGGACAGGTGCCTGCCTCATGATCCTGTGGACAGGTTCCTATCAGCTCTGGAGCCCTCGCACCAGCAAAAAACAGTCTGTGTCATGCTTTTACCTTCATAGAAAGGTAGTCTATGAGCTGTCTTGGCCCCTGGGGAAAAGGTATCCAGATGTCCTGAGACCACAAGTGCCCCCACAGAGGTCAGGATTCTGAAGAACTCAAATGAACAAAAGCCTAAGGAGTCTCTGCTATTGGGGGAAGAAGAGGATTCTCCAGGGGCACTTATGGCCCAAAGGGAGAAGGATGCTGGCCTGAAGGATGCTAACCTTGGGGGCGGTTGTGCCTTTGAAAACAGCATGGATCCCTGCCCATCTCTGGTACCTTAGTCACACCTTCATCAGTCATCACTAAGTTACCAGGATGCTCAGGATCCCATGCTGGGCACAGAGGCCCAGAAATGAAACAGCTGTTGTCATTGCCCATAGAAGCTCACTGGCTGGTGTATAGTCTGTTATTGGTACCTGGAGGGCACTGAGAATAAACATCACCTTCAGAGCATGTGGCAGATACCCTGATAATGATAAAGGATAAAGACTGACCCTGGGGTGGGAGAGAAGGAGAGGGAAGTGGGAGTGTGGGGAATGTTCTCTTGTCTTCATATGATGTCGTTTGCTGTTGAAAACTCCCAGGTGGGGCCTCTACCAGGGAACAGGAGCCTTAGTCTGTCTCCCTGTTGACCCTACACAGAGCTATCGATTACCCTTTGAAAACTGAAGAGGCTGAGGCTCAAGGAGGTGGAACCTGTTACCCACAGATGCTCAGGCCTTGGGCATCTAGGTTGACACCCCAGTGCAGATGTTTGTCCCCCTAGTGTTTCTGAGCTGGGTTCCCTCCTGTCTGAAAGGCTGAGCTAGAGCTCTCCATGCCCCTTCCAGCTGTGTTTGTGTCTTTAACATCCTAGATCATCAAGAAGCCATCACCAGCCCAGAAACCAGAAAAGGTAAGTGGTGTGTTTGGTCCTAATGTTGTCAACACACCTGATGCACACACTGCTCTCCACAGAGAGGCCCCCTGATGTGTATGGGGATATGTCCTCCCCACTTCCAACTCCTACCTACCTGGCCAGAGAGAACAAAAAGAAAGAATAGGGTAACAGAGTGAAGGGAGGGACCCCCAGAGAGGATGTGAGACTCACAAAATGTCATCCAGACAATGCCGTTACCCAACACCCAACATGGCCTGATCCAGGGCCTTTAGTAGTAAATCAGCATGTGGGGGATCTTATTTCAGGAACAGCTGTGATCTTTCCTGGAATCAATGGGCTTTTTGTCATTCCTGAAGAACTGTTTGTAGGATGGTCCTTCCCAAGACTCAGGTGACCTTTTGGAAAAGGATCCTCAAGTTTCAGAGACCTGGACCCCCTCCCTGAGCTCTGATGTATTTTGGGCTCCATTTCCATGTTCTTCACCCCTGGCTCATGTCAGAGTTAGGGTCTTGGTGGGCCTGGCATTTGGGGACTAGGGGGCTGAGGAGGGTGGAGGGAGTCTTGCCTGGCATCGAGCTGTGAGGGAAGGGCAGCCAAGGTGAGCACAGAGACCAAGGATCAGGTGGGGAGGATGTGGCAGACCAAATGGGGACCCAAACCGGCCCCATAAATAGTAGTTAGAGCAGGGACTCATGTCCCAGGGTAGAGGGGCCTGGATCTGATGTCTAGTGGCAAACAGGGTCCCTGGCAGGGCTGGCATAGCACTGGCTGCAGTGGGACCTGGGGAGGCTGGATCTGCCAGGGATGGATGAATGCAACTCTGTAACCTGCTAATGCTGCATCCCTGACAGCCTCCATCACGTGGTGGAGCCTCACACCCAGCTTCTCCTACAAGGGAAGCCTCCAGGAACCAAGGGGACAGGATAGAGTTTGTTGATACTTTGAGATATCTTTAAACCAAAAGGAGTTGGTGTGTTATCACATGGAGGCCACTCTCTTACTGTGCCAGGTACTAGTCATTTGTGCCTGATTCTCCAGCAAACATTTGCTGAGTAGCCAGTACTTGACAGTGCCCGAGGAAACAGAAAACCTATGTCTGCACCCAGGAGCTGCCAGACAAGGACTCAATTATTTTCTCTTTCTAGAAGCCATGCCCCGAGCAGGGATATACCACAGTGATTATCCCTTGCTGTGAATGCCAAGAAGACAGGATGAGACAGATGGAGGTGAGAAGTACCCTTAGGAAATGAAGGATAATGCCCTCCAAACTGGGAAGTGGGAGGAAGGGGGAGCCCTCAGTTCCTATAGCAGAGGCCTGGACTTCAGAATCCTGGATGGGTGGAGATGAGTTTATGGGCACCATATTTTGGACCGGGGTCCTCCCCCTGTGGAGGAGGCTCAGAATACTGGGCTCAGTATTCTGGATGTTGATAGCTGGCTCACAACCAAACAATCCCTAGGTCTCACAAAGGTTATCAACTTTAGCAATTGCCTGTGTCTTACTGACCAGTGATTGGAAGAATGAAAATAAACTAAATTACAAGAACCTCATATAGGTCTGTAACAAATATTTCTGAGCCCAGATCTTACCACCATTAAACAGCCCGGAAGTACCCACAGTTCCTGTCTGCTAAGTGAGGGAGGGAGAGAGCTCACTGCATTGTCCTTGGGGCACCTGAGAGGGGGTGACAAGGGCCACATGAAGGAGGGAACCTGAGGATACTTCCCTCTTCCCAGTGACTGAGATCCCAGCTGGCAGGAGGCTGACAGATGACAGGGACTAAGGAGGGCCCCAGGTGGCAAGTGTGAGGAAGAAAAGAACCACCATCTCTGGGTTCAGCTTTGCCTTCCTCACTCTGGCGCTGCCTCTGTCCCTGTGGGATCCATTGTTTCCTCCTGGGAGCTTCAAATGGCAGTAGGAAGGCCAGCCCCACGTCCCCCCTGACAGTCATTATGGGGGCCCAAGAAAGCCAGAGCTCACCTTCCAAGAGGGAGGAAGTCACCTGCCAGGGACTTATTCCCACTCAGAGGACCGGCTCCACATCCTACCTCCACCAGGTCTACTTTCTGGCCTGTTCTTTGTTTTCCTCATCTTTCTCTTTCTCCCCAGTAACAGGACGCTTCCCCCTGAGCAGGGAGTGGGTCTCTTCCCTGCCTTCTCCCTTTGTGCCCCCAAATGCAGACCCTCTTCCCCCTCCTTCAATCTCCTTCCCGGTCCCCATGCCCACCCCATGTTTCTCCTTGAGGACCTCTCCTTGGCTACTGCATAACTCCTCCAACCTTAGACGTTTGTTTGATTGTTTGTTTTCAAAAGCAGCCCCAACATCTCCTCCTACACCAAAAGCACTGATTTGTTCCAGAATCCAATACAGTCTGTGACCCATAGAGACCATCTCCCAACCAACACAAAAGGTTTTCCAGCGCCCTGCCCCAGGTGAAGCCTGAAGGGCTGCCTCAGCCAGTGTGTGGGGACACAGCCCTGGGGACTTGTGTGAGATGGAGGCAATGCTGCTCATCTGGAGGCAGCGTCTGTGCCTGTAGCTTCCTTACAACCACATCTGCATTTCAGGGAAAACTGGATGTTTTTTATAACTTTCTTCAGCGCTGCAGCCTGGTGCCATTGATGCAGTGTCCAACCAGGGACATGGTAAGCAGGACACAAGGATGCTCTCTGTGGTCTGGGATCTTGCTTTTGCCCTTGACAGTTGCCCCCTGGGACTGTGAGTCAGAGAACCCTGTCCCACCATCTGCCAAAAGGAACACCCCACAAGTGGAGACCTGGAGGTCATGAGCCTCCAGATGATTCTTCATATGGCACCCAGGCATTTCCCCTTCATCTTCATCAAGGATGTCAGCTCCTTTCTTCTCTAGAGCAATGCCCAGAACTCCCAATCCTGAGTGAAAAGGTCTGGAGAGGCCTATTTGCCTCCCATCCACCCCCTCCCCACTACCCACCCACACCTATGGGACTGTTAGCTGCACCCCACCCATGAGATCTTCCTGAACTGGTCACTCAAGTGCCAGCAAAGTGGGACATGGTGACACCCCCTCCCCAATGTTGTCTGGCCAACACTCATTGAATTTAGCAGGTAGCAAAGACGACCTCCTGTGTCATTGCCTGTGACAATGGGGAGAAGCCAAATTTTTCCAGTTGTCATCCTTGGAATGTAATAATGATGCTGGATAATTCCACTGTGCTCTTTCTGTGGATCAGTTGCTCAACTAAAAACTTTACATGTTTTCATTGCTTTAATCCTCCCAATAACTGTACAGGTAGATACTACTATTATCCCACAGGGAGGTGAGTGACTTGACTAAGGTCACAAAGGCTGGGAGGAGCATAGTTAGACTTGAATTCTGAGCCTGGCTCTACCCTTCTCACTGCTCTGTCCCCCATTTGGGGTCAGCATCATGATCTCACGGTGCTTACCCACAAACCACCAGAGGTTGCCCTACTAGGCTCCCTGGGGCCCGCGGAGGGCAATGGTTTGCTTGGAAATCATTTGCCTGGCCATTCCAAACTTTGAGCCTTTCTACAGACCAGACCAGGAGCCTGGAAGACATTGCAGACCTCAAGTCTTTAATGAGGGCTGCCTTGGTCACCTTTCCTGAATCAAACACTGGCTCTTGGTGACTGAGCACTTGGGTGTTTGGAAACTGTTGACAGGCCAGAAAGCCTCTGGACACTGCTATTGACACATCTGAGTCATTGCTCACACCCAGCAAAGACATCATCTGGGGACAGAGGTGCCAGAGTTCCTATGGCTCTCGGTCCCAGGTTTGCTTGCCTGGAAGCCCCATTCTCTACCTGATTCTCCTGGAACCTCTCCCCAGAACCACAGCCTCATTATGGTCACAAGAGCCCCAGGCCAGCATTATGCCTTGAACAGTAGAGACAACCACCCAGAGATGCAGAGTCAGGAGTAAGAAGGACAGAGCAAGACAGAGACAAGACACCAGATGGGAAAACACCAGAAGTAGCCTTCCTGCCCAGAAAGCAGGTCTCTGAAGCTCATGTTGGGATGGCAGAGTGATGGATTAGGGAGCTCATATCCACCCAGGGCTCTGTTAGGCCCCTGCAACACCAGCTCTCAAGTCTGCCCATTAGTCTCTCTGTGCTCACAGTGATCTGTGTGCTTCCTGGAGGCAAAACAGAGGCCTGAGAGTTCAGAGAATTTGCCAAGGTCACCCAGAGAGTAAGTGGCAGCAGCCAGAGCTGGCTGAAATCAACCCTGCTCATCCTGAGAGGAGCTGGGAGCCGGTGACTGTGCCTGGTGGGTGTGAGCCCTCCCATTCCTCTGCCCCCTCCCATCTGACCTTATCCCTCCCAACTATAGTCCTGGGGCTCCCAGTGTTATAGGATGTATTTGGATACCTCCAGTATTCCAGTGGATGTAGGAGTCTTGATTTCTTTCTTGAAGCCTTTGGTGCTCTGGTCCCAGGCCTTAAAGTAAATCATGGTCTAAGTGACGGGGTGTCAGCTGGGACCTACAGTCTCTGCAGGCCAGAATCAGCTCCCAATCTCACCCCTGAATGTACAGCAAGAGACACACAGCCAGCCCATGTGGACACAGTATCCAGGAGTATCTTCATGACCTTCCATGCACTATGGCATCAGTCATTTACTGTTACCTTCTGTGAAATGAGTGTCTCTCTACTCTACCATCTGCTAATCTCCAGAGGAATTTTTCTAGTAGTGGGCACCTTGAGAATACACAACTTCCTGAGGTTCCAGTAGAGAATCTTTTTCCTGACTCTTCAGCTTCTGGAGCTATGATCCTTGGTTCCCAGCCCTCCTCCCTCTACAAGACAGTAGGGCAGCACATAAATCTCTCTCTGCCTCCATAGTCACATTGCCTTGTTTTCTAGGGCACATCTCCCTCTGCTTCTCTGTCATGGAACCCTTTGATCACATATAGGGCCCCCCTGCCAGATAACCAAGGATTGTTTCCCCACCTCAAGAATCTTAACCACACCTGCAAAAGCCCTTTTGCAATATAACCTACAACATCCATTGGTGCAAAGGATGAGAACCTGGATATATTCAGGGCCATTGTTCAAGCAACCATACCAAACCACTGGACTAGAAGCTTACTTGAGAGCAGGGACTATTTTAATGGTCACCTTGCATCCTTTGCTGCATATAATGAACTGAGGGATACAAAAGGCATGAAGATGTGAGTGTACATAGCATGGATCACACCATGAAAGGTCTACACTCAGGAGGTGTGGCTCAAAGTGTACTCCTAAGTTCTGGCTGCTTTGGTTGCCAGTGAGATTTTGAGGGTAAGGGGAGACCCTGTGATCCCAGAGGACCCTCCCCCTGGAAGTGACCTGGGTGTCTGGGAAAGACCAATGTGTCCTTCTTTCTCTCCATCATGCTGTGTCATAGAGTGTGGAGACATTTCTCTCTCTGTCTGCATCTCTTGGTGTTGAGTGCCCTGTTGTTGCCAGCTGCCAGAGTGCTGAGGGCACTCCGTCTGGCAATCCGGGCTCTTCAGCTGGGAGTCTTCCACTGGGCAGGAGCTGGAGACAAGGAGGAAATGACAGTAAAGCCAGGAGCAGTTGCTTTCCACTGGCCCAAAAGATCTGTATCAATGTTTACCCAAACCTAGGGGCCCAAGTGTTTCCACAGCCCATCACCCATCTGAGGGTGCCCCTACCTGCCCTTGCTCTGTGGGCCCAGAGCCCAACCTGAGGGTTGTGGTGAGGATTCATCCCTTTGGCATACACTTACCAAGAGCACCTGGACCTTATTGCGGCTACAGTGGCCATCAGCCCTTGTCCTTACCGCACAGGCTCCCAGGCCAGAAAGCAGCTGACAAGCTCAACACCAGAGCAAAGGGAGATGAGAGTCAGAACAACAATTCTTGAACAGTCTAGAAACAGGAGTGCAGACTGGAGGCTAGCACCTAGGGAAAGGAAGGGCATGAAGAAAGTCTGCCCTGGAGATCCTGACAGGGCCTGAGTCTGCTCCCCTTAAGACAGGAAACCACAGCCTTCTGCATCTAATTCAAGTGGCTTCTCAGTGACCTCACCTCTCCTCTCCTCTTTTCTCTACAGGGAAGCTGCATCAACTTCACCTTAATGAATCCCCACTGTGCACAAATGCTCTGCGGATCAAACATCTGCCTTCAACCCAGCCAGGAGTGCTTCCCCCTCAATATCAACTGCCCAAATCATCAATATCCCCCACCCATATGCCCTCAGCCACCCTCCAGGATGCTACCGCTAATCCCTCCCACTGCCCGGAAGCTTTGCAGAAGTAGTATGTCACTCCCACCTCCATAACCCAACATCTAAGCACCAAAGCCCAGCATTGTTAAGAGCCCTTTGTGTACTATAGTGGACATATATATTGTGTTTTGGTTTACAGTCAAAAGGAGTTGGAATTTGTTGCTGATCAGCAAGACAGTTTATTTGGTGAGCAACTTCTCATACTTCTCCACTGTATGAGAAGTATCTATCTATATTGGTCCTGCCAGGACAAAGCACCCTCGTATCCTATGAATGTAGACATGATCAGTCCAATTCCCCACAGTCAGTTCTTCATCTGTTACCAAGGGCTAGAATGTATGCAGTTTTAGTCAAATTCTGCTCTTTGATAATAGCCCAAAATATCTTCGAAGTATGAATACAATCCTTCCTCCACCACTCACTGGCTGCTACTTAATCTTTTGGCCAAGTTACATAATTTCCCTGTGCTTTGAATCCTTCATTGAAAAGATGGAGATAATGGTATCTCCTCTACACGATGCCTTGAGGATGACAATAACTGCTGCAATGTAGTCAGCACAGGGCCAAGGCCCTGGTAAAGATTCAGGTGCTCAGTAGTCAATGTCATCCATTCGTGCCCTGAGAGAAAAGAGGATGATGAATTCAGAGATGTAATAAGCGTCTTGTGATGTCAGGAGAGGCAGAGATAGAGGACTACCTGACTGGCCTTTTTAGCTCTGGACAACAGGGTATGGGATTGACACACATGATCGTTCTCTAAGGAGGCTGCTGACCATACATGTGTTCACATTCCAGGTCCATCACCCACATAGCCTCCCAAATATGCCATCAGAAAATGTCTTGGCACCTACTAACTCCTGAAGAAATGCTAGTTCCCTTCCTATACCCTTAATATTTCTCATAAAGGAAACCCTTGATTTCTACCTTCCCAGTCTTTCAAATCTACTCCTCTGCTGGTAGAGCCAGACCTCACAATCTTTCAGATTCATTTCCCTATAGACTTTGAATACCTAACCAAGTTTTCCTTTGACACTAATGTGCTTCAGGACTATTCATAGGCAACAGTCTATTGTGAAAATCCCAGAACACAACAGGAGACTAAAGCATCAGCCTGAACCAAAGTCTGAGCAGGAAAGAGGAGATATCTTACTCAAATGTGCACATATCCATAGAGCAAATCAGGGATCACGGAGATCAGGAAAACATGACATGACACAAGGAAATGAATAAAGCTCTGATAACTGACCCTAAAGAAATGGAGATCTGTGAACTGTCTAATAATCCCACAACTAACATCATACTCCATGGTGAAAAGCTGAAAGCGTTTCCTCTAAGATCAGCAGCAGGACCAAGATGCCCATTCTAACCAATTTTATTCACCATATTATTGGAAATCCTAGCCACAGCAGTCAGATAAGAAAAAGAAATAAAAGGAATTCAAGTTGGAAAGGAAGAAAAACTGTCGCTGTTGGCAGATGATTCTATATTGTACATAGAGATCCTAAAGATGCCACCAAGCACTACTAGAGTCCATCATCAATGAAGTCAGTAAAGTTGCAGGATACAAAAATACAGAATGTTGCATTTCTACATACTAACAGCAAACTACAAGAGAAATTAAGGAAATAATACCATTATAATTGCATAAAAAAGAATAAAATACCTAGAAATACACCTGCTTATGGAGGTGAAAGACCTGTACTCAGAAAAGTAGAAGACACTGATGAAAGAAACTGAAGGTAATACAAATAGATAGAAAGATGCATTGCATTCATGAATTGGAGGAATTGCATGCATATATGCTAAGTCACTTCAGTCATATCCAACCCTATGGACCCTAGGTAGCCTGGCAGACTCCTCTGTCCATTGGATTCTCTAGGCAAGAATACTGGAGTGAGTTGCCATGCCCTCCTCCAGAGAATCTTCCAGACCCAGGGATCAAACTGGCATCTCTCACATCTCTTGCATTGTCAAGCAGGTTCTTTATACTAGCACCATCTGGGAAGCCCATTGGAGGAATTAATCCTATGAAAATTACCATACTGCCCAAGGAAATCTACAGACTCAGTGCAATAGTTATCAAATACCAATAGCATTTTTCAAAGAATGAGAAAAAGTAATTTAAAAACTCTTGGAAACATAAAAGATTCCAACTAGCCAAAACAACCTTGAGAAAGAATAGAGCTGAAAGGGTCATGTTCTCTGACTTCAGACTATACTACAAAGCCATAATAAAACTTGATAGCATTTTGCTAAGTGAAATTAAAAAAACAAAAAGATAAATATTGTGTGATCTCACTTGTGTGTGAGATCCTAAAAAAAAATAAAACCTCATAAAAAGATTATATTTGTGGTTACTATAAGTGAGGAGTTGGTAGGGGAGGAATTGAAAGAAGTTGTTTAAAAGGTGCAAACTTTCAGTTATAAGATAAAATAGTACTTGGGATGTAATTTATAACATGATAACCACAGTTAACACTACTATATGGTATATTTGAAATTTGTTAAAACAATAGATCCTAAGAATTCTTTTCATAGGAAAAAATATTCTTTCTTTCTCTATTTTTTGTATCTGGATGAGATGATGTATGTTAACTAACCTTACTATAGTAAGCATTTCACAATATATGTAAGTCAAACTACAATGCTGCATATTTTAAACGTTTATAATGTATACGTTAATTACATCTCAATAAAACTGGGGGAAAAAAGGATCTCAACTAGTAAATACAAAATGAATAATAAAATTATAAATCACCATTTTACCTGCTGTATAGTGCAAGGAACTCTACTGAATACTCTATAATACTCTATACAGGAAAAGAATCTTAAAAAAGAGTGAATATATATACATGTATAGCCGATGCACTTTGTTGTGCATCTGAAACTAACATAACATTTTAAATCAACTATACTCCAATAAAATTTTTTTAAAAAGAAGTCACCATTTTGAAACCCTTAATGAAATAAATACTTATCAGGAGACACTTAAGCCATTAGCTGGAATGTTATTGGGGGATTTAACCATGAATTAAAACATTGTTGAGAGAAATTTAATTGTGTGAACAGACAGGAAAACTTTATCCCATTGACCAATCTCAGTATCAGTAAAAATACAACTATCAAGTATCATGTGTCTTCTGGTGTGATGCAAAAGGAATAAAATCAACAACAGTTAACCTGAATCTCACCAAGCTTTACACTCTAACCATTAGCTTATAGGAAATTTATGATAGAATAAAAAGTTATTATGAGGCTATAATGAAACAACCAAATTTAAAATATGGAAAAATTGTACAAAAATGACTCTGTTTTTTAACATAAATGGGGTGAAATAAAAGGAGGTCAAACTGAAAAAAAAATGGGTGAGTATAGCAGTAAAGAAGCAAATTTCTTCAGGATAGCAATAGTTTAAAAACTCCATATTAAAAATGCCATTCCAATAGTATCAAAAATATAGTATATATCAGGAAGGCACTTGACAAAAATGGTCAAAACATTCATAGAGAAATTTACAGGGAAGGTACTAAAAACAGCCCAAATAAATGAAGACATTGCCTTCTTCACTGATGGGAGTCCAGACCTCATGGAAATCTACAGACTCAGTGCAATAGTTATCAAATACCAATAGCATTTTTCAAAGAATGAGAAAAAGTAATTTAAAAACTCTTGGAAACATAAAAGATTCCAACTAGCCAAAACAACCTTGAGAAAGAATAGAGCAGAAAGGGTCATGTTCTCTGACTTCAGACTATACTACAAAGCCATAATAAAACTTGATAGCATTTTGCTAAGTGAAATTAAAAAAACAAAAAGATAAATATTGTGTGATCTCACTTGTGTGTGAGATCCTAAAAAAAAATAAAACCTCATAAAAAGATTATATTTGTGGTTACTATAAGTGAGGAGTTGGTAGGGGAGGAATTGAAAGAAGTTGTTTAAAAGGTGCAAACTTTCAGTTATAAGATAAAATAGTACTTGGGATGTAATTTATAACATGATAACCACAGTTAACACTACTATATGGTATATTTGAAATTTGTTAAAACAATAGATCCTAAGAATTCTTTTCATAGGAAAAAATATTCTTTCTTTCTCTATTTTTTGTATCTGGATGAGATGATGTATGTTAACTAACCTTACTATAGTAAGCATTTCACAATATATGTAAGTCAAACTACAATGCTGCATATTTTAAACGTTTATAATGTATACGTTAATTACATCTCAATAAAACTGGGGAAAAAAAGGATCTCAACTAGTAAATACAAAATGAATAATAAAATTATAAATCACCATTTTACCTGCTGTATAGTGCAAGGAACTCTACTGAATACTCTATAATACTCTATACAGGAAAAGAATCTTAAAAAAGAGTGAATATATATACATGTATAGCCGATGCACTTTGTTGTGCATCTGAAACTAACATAACATTTTAAATCAACTATACTCCAATAAAATTTTTTTAAAAAGAAGTCACCATTTTGAAACCCTTAATGAAATAAATACTTATCAGGAGACACTTAAGCCATTAGCTGGAATGTTATTGGGGGATTTAACCATGAATTAAAACATTGTTGAGAGAAATTTAATTGTGTGAACAGACAGGAAAACTTTATCCCATTGACCAATCTCAGTATCAGTAAAAATACAACTATCAAGTATCATGTGTCTTCTGGTGTGATGCAAAAGGAATAAAATCAACAACAGTTAACCTGAATCTCACCAAGCTTTACACTCTAACCATTAGCTTATAGGAAATTTATGATAGAATAAAAAGTTATTATGAGGCTATAATGAAACAACCAAATTTAAAATATGGAAAAATTGTACAAAAATGACTCTGTTTTTTAACATAAATGGGGTGAAATAAAAGGAGGTCAAACTGAAAAAAAAATGGGTGAGTATAGCAGTAAAGAAGCAAATTTCTTCAGGATAGCAATAGTTTAAAAACTCCATATTAAAAATGCCATTCCAATAGTATCAAAAATATAGTATATATCAGGAAGGCACTTGACAAAAATGGTCAAAACATTCATAGAGAAATTTACAGGGAAGGTACTAAAAACAGCCCAAATAAATGAAGACATTGCCTTCTTCACTGATGGGAGTCCAGACCTCAAATTCAAATCCCTCAAAATA